TTTAAGTAAGCTTTCTTAACGCTAATGTTACATTAGTCAGATTGCTCTGAAGATGGGAGGGGATATTCTATGAATTTTCACGTTCACACAGTCAGTTGATTTTTGCCGGCCGTCTTTCCTGCAACGGCAGTTTTTCTGTATTTCCTCTATCCTGTAATATGACTTGATATCTTTAAACTCCGCACACGGAGCTCTGATTGGTCAGCAGGCGGTGCTTTCACTGAGTTGATCTCTTAGCCTGCCACCTAACCTCCTCCCGAGGAGGTTAGCCGCTCAGCATAAGTTACCATGGAGATCTAGCCCGCTAAAAAGAGAACCAGCGTCGTAGGACCGGAAAGCCCGAGTTTTCCCTGAAGTCAGCCGGCTAAGCGAAAATCCGGCTTCGTAGTACAGGCCTCTGGTGCTCAAAGCGCTTTACAAGCAAGTAAAGAAAAATAACAACAAAAATAAAAAGTTCCAAGCTCGGTGGAATAGGGGCGAGGGGTTAGTGGGCGAGGAGTTAGTGGGCGAGGGGTTAGTGGGTGAGGAGTTGAAGGTAAGAGTGAAGAGGTGAGTTTTGAGGGCTTTTTTGAGAGAGTGTTGGCAGATCATTACTTTTAAACTCCGCTGGGACACAAGTATGAGGCTCTCAAACACAAAACAAATATTTACGTAATGGGGGTCTTCAGTATGTTTGAAGGACAAAAAGCAGTGGCATTACATTTGCAGTAAAGATAACAATCTAACAATCTCAGCAGTATTATCGAGAACTTGATACCAGCATGGGAAACATTACAACTATATTAACGAGGGGAATGTAGCGGTGGCTATTTGAAAGCAGCCCTGATTCTCTTGAAGGAAAAAGGGAAGTGCATAACAACGTAACACATGAGTCAAGTTGAGACGTAGGAGACATATATTTATGTTTTTATAAAAAGAAGACAGCACAGAGGAAGAGTCTCACAGCCTTTTATCTGTAAACAGTTCATGGAAACTATTTAAAAAAACGTATTTATATCCAAATGAACATTATACATTACAGTTTTGCAATCTACCACAACATTAACTTGTGTAAATAATTCAGATTCTATGAGAGGAACGCAGTAATGGCTTATTTGTAGCCTTTTAGCCTCGCTGCATGTTTCCTAGCAGAGATAGCGTCATAGTGAAAGTGCACTGAGCTGAATGGACGCTGTGCTTTTATACCGCATGGACTTGTTTCTGTGAATGAACTGATGGAAACTGACAGGACTCGTTCTTCCTCTCCCCGACAGATGAGTTGTTCCAGAAAGTTGCAGAGGATTACAACAGCAATGCCTTCCAGGAAATGAAACGTGAGTGCTTTATTAACACACACTGTGGATGAATCCTTTAAATAGGGGATTGGGACATACTGACCCCCTTTACCCCCCAAACTCACCGCTCACTGCTCTCCATTGATATAACTTAACACCTGCCCTAGTGTAAGTATCTGTCATTCATCTGTGTAGACCCAGCAACAGTTTATTTGGCTATAATCTAAAAGAAAATAGAAAGTCTACCACCTGAATTTGTCCCCAGAGCTGCTACTTAGCTATTCATTTAGTGATAATAAGCGATAACGGGACTAAACAGGCCAAGTACAGCGACATGTAAACAGACAATAAGAAATATACATTGAGATAGAGGCGAATGACAGAATCTACTCTTGAATAGGGCTGCACGATTTGATAGAAAATCTCATTGTGATTATATTGACTGATATTGCAATTGTGATATGATATGTTGTATTATACGAATTGATCATTTTTTTTTAAATAATCTTTTATCATTAAAATGCTCATGGTGTCATTTTTTTTTTAAGAGGATCCGTACCAAACAGGGATTTTCTATTAAGTCTGCAGAATACAGTTTGTAGGCCGGGACTTCTCTACGAAATGCTTCATTCAGACATTTTCCTAGACTAAATATTGTGATTACTTATGCATGGGCGACTGTGGCTGTGAGGGAGTGCGGTCGTCTCTCAACCAGAAGGTTGTGGGTTCGATCCCAGCCCATGCAGTCAACATGTCGATGTATCCTTGGGCAAGATACTTAACCCTGAGTTGCTCCCGATGGCATGGCCAATGAATGTTGGTTCCTAGAGTAAGGTACACTGCAATGGGTGTGAATGGGTGAACGACATGTAGTATGTAAAGTGCTTTGAGGGGTCTTAAAGACTGGATAAAGCGCTATATAAGTACAGTCCATTTACCATTCCTACTTTTGAATGCACTTATAACATACATGTTATTTAGTGTTATGGTTGGAGACAAGATGCAGCAAGAGAAAGAGGGATCAAGAGTAGAACAAGAAAGTAAAATAATGTATTTTTAAATACCATATACTGTGTCTTCCTGTGTTTCAGCAGAGGAAACGAGCGTGGACTTGAGCCAGAAGAAGGACTCGTATTTCTATTCCTGTTGCCATAACAACTGAGGAAGAGGAAGGGAAACGGACCTGTTCGCCTGACTCCGGTTGGATGAAAAACCTGGATTTTATGCTGGATACATTTGATGGGAAACTCTGCTCTGGAGCTGGGATCCAAGTCACAAAATACCAAGTTGCACAATATGTTTTTCAATAGGTTTCTTTTGTGCCATAAAAAAAAAAAACTGACGGCTGCAAAACTTTATGGAAGAAGATCTGCTAGAGGCTGTTACTGGGTGTGAGGGATGGAAACGACAAAACACTTTACCCAGTGATGTCCTTGGTTCTTCCGTAGCTTCTTCTGGATTGGACCACAGAAGTAAAAAAAGGGGATGAAAACGTGATTGTTTGCAGTGCAGAGATCGAGGAGGGTGACTGGTTTTTGTTCAGATATTTAACCTTGTTGTCTGTTATTCCTGCACAACCTGACAGGAGTGGAGTGAAGCAAGCTGGATCTAAAAAAAACAAACACTCCAATGTTCCCGTTTACAGAAGCCCTGAGAGGCCGATGAGAAAAACTAAGTCTGGTGAGACAACTCTTAACATCTGATCTGAATACGTTTCTCTCTGGGTTCATGACTAGAGGAAAGGTGGAGGAAAATAAGGGTTAGCAGCGTTTAAGATCCCTTTTTTAAAATGTATTTTGGTTGGGGAAAAGGGTTTATTAAAATTACCAAAAGGTTATCATCTTTGTAAAAGCATAACCTCTTGTCCCCCATATCTATCGTAACTTATGAAACGAGGAAGAAAACGATTTCGATCAGACCTTAAAGAAGTCTCACCAGAGTTTGTGCATGAATGAAATGATACGAATGATATGAATGTATGCCTTATTACCCACAAATTAAATGTACAACATTTTGCAGAGCGCTGGCTCTTTAACGTTTACAAAAACATTATGGATGTATTGATAACAAGCAGGGGTCACTCGTGGTACTGCAGAAATAAAAAAACACTGCCGCACCTAAAAGCTTTTTCCGGTGAGACTGCCATTATAAAAGAGACGCCTATAAGACTATTGACAACACATATATTGATGTCTGAATAGCCCTCCAAGTCATCCCAATGTAACGTTTATGGGATGTACTGAAGTTGGTAAAACATTGGGTTATGCACTCCGTTAGCAACTTTCTTTCAAATGAATGGCCGCCATCTTTGTAGTCCAGTTTCATGTTCCTATAATACATCCACAGTGACGACAACATGTTTCTGGCACATCATCTTTTGCAGAATAAGCTAAGATTCTGATTTCACTTGACGCCAAAATCTCTGTAATTAAACTGCATGACCCGAGCAGACTGAAAGAACATTTTAACGTTTGCTTTTCCACATTTAAACTCTAAAATTATATTTTGTCATTTCAAATGCATAGAGCACATATGGAAACGCAAATATTCGTTCAGTCTGTTGCTTCAGTGACATGTTCCTTTTTGAAGCTTTTAAGAAACACTTAAGTTCCCCTCCACTATGGTGAAAAACTGCAGATTTCACAAACGGGAGAAAAGCCGTTGTGGGTGAATGTGGAAACATGTCCTCTCGATGTCCTCAGAACAATCTGTACAGCTGTCTCACTTCAGGACTCTAATTTATTGCCTTTTTAAGTTATGCTGCCTGGAAGACGTGGGGAAATAAAAGATAATATCTGTTTCCTCCGTGTCGCTGCTTTGACGTGTTGATGTGTCATTTGTTGGAAATTAAATGCACAATATTTTTTATGGAGAATATATAAAAATATGTTCTGTGAAATTAAAAGCTTGTTGAAATAACTTTTTAAAGATCTGTTAGATTTGATGGGGATTCACTCTTTTGCCTTTGTGTTTATCTCACCTTCTCACTTGGGTAAAAATAATGGCAATATACGGGAAAGGAAATGTATAATTTACAAATCATCCCAATCCATAATGAAATGGATAAAAGGAATTCTTTTTTTTTTTTTTTAACAGTTCCCATGTCATGCTCCATAATCAATCCAGAAGTGAAGAAGATAATCGTATCCAATAGAAGGAGCACTAAAATCAATAAGAAGTGTGGCCCCCTTTTCCAGAGTAGTTATACAATGTCGTATTGATTAAGAGTCAATGGGTCACATGACATGAAAGCTGTTCAAAATGGACCTTTTGAAAGAAAACGAAATATTCAAATGAATATAGTAATTGGTTTTGTGTCATTGAAGACAGGAAGACGCCCTGTAAGATGTCGGCCGAATATCCAACTTACAAACTTCACTGTGCTGCTGAAATCTCAAGTTCGTTAGCATTTTGCAAATCAGTCTTTCCGAAAAAATCTCATTCGTACTTAGTTTTTTTCAAAACTTTGCAGGACATTCAAATGTTAAAACCATATTATTTTTACTAAGTTTCGTAAGCATAACGACAACAACAAAAAACAGTGAGGCTAATCGTTCTCTTACCCTTTTCAAAATATTTTACGAAGCACTTAATTGCATTGCATTAGGCATTGATTCAATTAAATATATTTAAAGCCACATGAGTAGTTAGCATAGCTTGTGTCATCAAACCCATTATAAAGAGGGTATATAGCTTCATGTTGGACCAATAAACAAAAAGAAGAACGAGGCCAGTACGAAGCTTATTTCATATTTTCTTTTCCATATATATTTATATATATAGCAGTCATTTTAATGGTTGAGATCTAACAGGTCATAATTACACAGGAATGAAACATTGCTTTCGGGAAACTGTAAAAAGGCATAAGTAGGGAAACCATTCCTTCAAAATATCTCCAAAGAAATACACTCTAAGGCATTGGCAGATAACACACAGACCATATTAAGCTTGAAGACAGAGCGAAAACACGCATGGCAAAAAAACAAGTGCAAGCGTCATGGTGGGAGTCTGTTTAAACGTCCCATTGAAGACCTTTGATTCCCCTCGATGGATCTCCTCATCTTCATCACAGAACAGTTCATAAATAATGACTACAGAGCACAGCATACACACATAGTGCTATCTCTGCTATGTCTCCTTGTAGAGCTGCTAAATAACCTACGAGACAGCGTTAGCGTCCTGTGACGGTTTATAAACACTTTCTCTGAAGCACGAGGACTATTCTCAGTCACACTGACTCCTCAGCAGTTTTTTTTGGCATGAAATGGTCAAATGTTGATGCTTGCCGCTGCCAGCTTCGGTCTAAAACCAGCAAAAGCCTCTTGTTCGCGTCGTGGATTTCATCTTGAAGCTACACCAGGCAGCCCATCATGTGGCACTTTCACATATTATCGTAGATCGTCTGACTGTGAAGCACCGTAGGAAATACGCAGGGGAGTGAAATCATGTTAAACTGATATTTTAAAACTTCCAAGGAATTCATTCTTAGTCCAGTTGAAGCTGTGCTGATAGCAGATAATTGAGTTATTAAGAGAACATGTAATGTGTTTCTGGGTCTTTCAAACACGTGGTCACCATTTGATTCAAATGCAACCAAGTCAAGGTTAATAACATGGACTGAAGATGCAGTCTTTTCTAGCACGAAACACCTACAGTACACTCTGCAGATACAACGACTCTCCAACTACATGAAGCTTCTTGCAATACTGCAAATACTAAAACAAACCGGCAGGAGAAATCGGTGAGAAATATGTTTACAAAGTCATTTTCATGGAGAAGTCCCAGATGATTTTCTTTGTCAGATCTCGAGTTTGAAGGTGCAGTCTGCGCCAGTGTGTGCAAAGTCACTGCGTCAAGAGTGTTAGGATTGTGAGGACAAAACTAAATAAATAATATCTGCTGTGTATAAATATGGTTCTGTACAGTATTTTATTCTTATTTATTTTATGTGTTGATTTATTTTTGTCCTAAAATGTTCCTCCATATGTCCACAAGCTCATCAGATACAAACAGTGACAGACCGGGCTACGTGTGGTCGGGAAATCTTCATTTGCTGAGGGCTCTCGCCTGCAGATGTAATAATCCAACATGCGTCACTCCTCTTCCTCCTCCTCCTCCTCCCCCTCCTCTTCCTCCTCTTCCTCCTCCTCTTCCTCCTCCTCCTCATCCTCCTCCTCTTCTTCATCTTCATCCTCTTTGATCTCCACGCACTCCATCACTGCCTCTCCATCCTCTTCATGAGGATCTGATTTCTGGCTCGTCTCCTCACCTTCTTCTTCTTCCGACTCCGACTCCTCCTCCTCCTCCACTTCATCCAGAAGCTCCTCCTCTTCCTCTTCCTCTTCTACGTCTCTCTCCTCTTCATACGAGGATATGGGCGAGTAGTGAGGGAGGTCGTACACTGGAGGGCTGCTGGGAGGAGACGAGGAGCCGGGCGGGACGGGGATAGTGATGGCAACTGGGATGGAGAAAGCAGGAAGTGTCTCAGCTTCGACGACCTCTCGCACCTTCCTGGAGTTCTGGTTCTGTCCGGTGGTTCTAGAGGTGTTTGGGCCGGAGGAGGGGATGACGGCCATGCCCAGCCCGGAGGTCAGGGCTCTGGGAGGGGGGCTGTACTCTCTGATCTCCCCCGGCTCCAGGGGGTCCGAACCACAGGGGTCGTGCTCGCTGCAGCACAGCTTCCCGTCCAGCTTGGAGATGAAGAGCAGGCCGTCGCGGTGCAGGTTGCAGAACGAGCTGGGGCACATCTCGCAGAACGAGGCCGCCTCCGTACAGCAGACATCACACTGATGCCACGGACACTCCCAGCGACCTGCAATACAGACAAGAAGATAAAATGACCAGCAAAAAAACAAGTTTAAAATGTATTTACAAATATTAATAATAATAATCCATTTTATTTGTAAGCGCACTTTTCATTTGAGTAAACAAAACTCAAAGTGCTACGGAGTAAAATGGTTGAAACAAAACAACACAAATATAATAAAGTAGACAACAGAATAAAAACCGTGACGTGTGTGCCTTGGTGTTTATAGTGCATTCGTACACAAAGTCAAAGATGTAATAAAATAATATATAAATAATATTTAGATTATTTTAGATTAGATATATTCATTGGTCCCAAATTGGGAAATCGTTTTGTTACAGCAGCATGTTAACAAGGCATTGCACATGAGTTAAAATGTTATGAAATATATATATATATATATGTTTTAAATATATATATATCAACAGCATAAAGATAAATATCTATAGGGTATCCATAGAAAACACAATATAAAATATACAACATAAGTAAGAATACACTGTAATAGACAAATGTACTACTAAAACTAAATATATAAACATAGGATACTAAATACATTCATTTGATGGTTTTTCTATTATACTCACTTCCCCCTTTAGATATATGATATCAGGATTGGGGTCTAATCGCCAAACACTATTCATATTTCAATCATATGGCGTAAATAAATGTTCTTTAAACCAAATATGAAGTCTCTCCTGATTGATACATCCCAAGTTGGAGAAACTTTCTAATGAAATCTTTTAAGGTTTTTCCAAAGAAAACTCCCCGACACCCCCCAGAAGAGAGAGGTTTGTGTATTCAGGATTGTGGGGAAGGGTATTTCGATCTCTCTGTCTGTACACACAAAATGAAAGGTTGACAATAAAGTTGACTTTGACTGACCTGCGGGCCTCTTGGTGAGGTTCAGGCAGTCTGCGTGGTAAACCTTGGGGCAGCCGGGCCTCTTACAGGAGACCATCTGTCCTCCGTCTCCGCAGCTGAAACACTCGTCCTCCCGCTCTTTGGTCACCAGCACCTTCTTCCTCTTACCCCTCCTCTTCATCTTACGCCCTTTATCGTCAGATGGAGGGTTGTTCTGTTCAGAGGGAAGATTTTAACATAGCTTTTTATTCATGAGACTCAATTATGATGTGCCCCTTTAGAGAAGTCTTACCTCAGGTAGTGGTGACTATATACATTTAGAATTCAGTACACCTTTGTACTTCTTCACAACACTGAAAGTTCTGTTCTGAACCAAGGGATGAAGTCAAATCAACTTTTTGAAAAGCCTAATTTGCTTTGCATCAATTGTAAAATGCTTCGATACTATATCTGGTGCATTGCTGTAGAATAAACTACCCACAACCCTACTGTATATAAAGGAATTAGCACCCTATTGTACATCTACAGAAGTAACATGCTAAATATACATGAATGCAGGAGTAATATTGATCTAAAAACATCCTACTGTATATAAAAGTAAACCGCCAGTGAGCCTCGTACACACGAATATTCACCAGAAATATTGTCAAATGAATATATATGCATGTAATGCATATGCACACACACACATATACACATCTACTGTAACCTACACACATACATATGCTGCAGATAAATTAACAGATCATTTTACCGAGTGTGGAATGAATGTAGGGGATTACTAGTCGTTCTTATTGTTTGTTTGTGTTTTCCGTTGTACATATAAGCAATACAAACCATTGTTTCATTTGTATATGCATACATGTTGCTTTCCATTTCTAAATGACAAGCCCCTGGTTATGCATTGTAGAAACGTAATAAAAAGATTTTTGATCTGAAAAGTGAAACACTGACCTTTGGCCTGACCCCCAGGAAGCCGCTGCAGTTTGGAGCTCCACATTTACAGACTGTCTTCCCGTTCCCCAAACACTCCAGGTTGTAGTTGAAGGTGAGCTCTGTGCCTGCACGGAAAAACACAAAATACCTCCACTTCAGAATTCCTTATTTACCAGTGTTTCCATTAAACTTGACAAGGTTCTTCGTTGACCAAATATTGAATGGTCGATGTTTGACCAAACTCCCTGATGTCAGCGGTTATATTTACCTGCAGCGACGTCGATGAGAGCGAACAGCCCCACCCTGGTGTCTCCGCTCACCGTCCACTTCTGCGTCTCACAGTTGGGCTGACAGCAGTGGTTCATGAAGCGAGCCTCGTTCCCCTTCGGACCGGCGTCGATGATTCGATCCTAACAAACAGAGACACAACTGTTGAAACTGCAGCTTCCACACAGCACATACGACATTTTAAATACTGTTTTTATGCCAATGCTATAGCCTGTTGAAACTGCAGCTTCCACACAGCACATACGACATTTTAAATACTGTTTTCATGCCAATGCTATAGCCAGTGCAAGCAGAGACTTTTTGGTATTTTTGTTAGTATTTGGAGTTTGGCCAGACTTTCCCTTTGGCCGTCTGACTGATCAGCAGTGGACAGAAGTTGATGGTATTTAGTGCAAAACCGACAATTGTTTCAATTGAAAAGTCACAAATCTGGGAAATGTTAATTTTTTTGTAAAATTGTACACATTTAGTGGAGCAATCTCCAACCAGTAGTGTTAGCATGTGTTAGCACAAAGAGGTCTTGGTACTTGTTTAGTTCAAATGGCCTTTTTGATCGTGTCTTATAATTCTCCCGTAAAATAAATAATATATTTAAGACGTCTATTTTTATGATATAGTCTAAAAGTCCATTATCAACTTCACAAGATGTAAACAAGAAAGCATTTTTTAATCTTTCCTAAAACAAATTTGGACCTTTTTTACCGAATAATTATGTGTTTTTTTAGCTTGGTTTGTTTGTGTGTTTGTCAGCAGGTAAACCTCCTGCCCTGATTTTCATGAAACTTGTTAACACAGTGTACCATCGAGCAAAGAGGAAGCTTTCAAATCAAGAGACTGATCTGAATCATTGGTCGCAAACACGCAACAGCAACAAACTTAGGTGGTGCTTTACATCACGCTTTGAAACGATGGTACAATTATCACCAGATTTCTGGTTCTGACGTCTCAACCAATGTTCTTTATGGGATTTTCATGAATACACACTTTAACACACACTCTCTGCAGCTGTACCTTGTCCAGAGTCAGCATGTAGAAGTTACAGATGTCGGTCTCCTGAGCCTGTCTGATCCTGGACCGGCACTCCTCCTCGTCGATCACCTCCCCGACGTACTCACTCACAAAGTGACCCTGAAACATTTAACATTATTAATCCTCTGGGAAGTAAACACCGAGTAGTATCAGCAGTGTTAATGACAGTAGTGTTGCTACCTTCTTGATGTCGTGGACGCAGCGCAGCCCCCACCCTCGGGACAGCGTCCTGAAGATCTCCACCTGGCTGTACTGACGCTTGCTGAACGCCTGATTCAGGCAGCGCTCCCCCGCCGGGCAAACCTGAAAACATTTCAGCGTCTTTCAGCATTTTTTTTCCATTTAAAGGTCCCCCATTATACTGTTTTTCATCAATATATTATAGGTCTCAGATACAAAACATGTCTCTGAAGTTACCTTGGTTGGTGATTGGCTAATGGTTACACAAGCCAAAAAATCGTTATGACATCATAAAGTGGCCAAAATCTGATCAGCTCATTTTCAGATAGGTTTTTATATAAATGGATCAGGACAAAAAGTGAGAGATTCTTTTTTCCTGAAACTTTCAGAGTCTCTTTCCACAGAGGGGACACATGGTGATGTAGAAGAGACATGAAGAAGTGAATTTTGCATAATAGGTGACTTGAACAGTTTCGGACAAATTGTTTTATTTGACTTTGTTTTCAACAGTCTCTAAAATTCACCTCTTGCTGAACACTTTATTATAATAACTAAGGAGGGTGTAAAAAATAAGAAAGCTGTACATCTCCTGTTGAACGAAATAAATGCAATGAGACTATAGCATGTTAGATTAACCTGTGATACCGGTATACTAGGCAAGTTTATTTATACTTATACTATTACAACCCTTTATGTAAGTGTATTTTAAATGTATATTTCTATTCTTTGTGTCTATCTATAGATCTCTAAACCGGCTGTGGAAGTTCTGGTTTCTGTACCTGAGGGTGACACTCGTAGAGCAGCATGCGGTTGATGCACTCAGAGTCCATCCCACACGGACTCTCGTCTGACGCCTTGCAGTTACAGCGCGGGATCTCTGATAGGTCGGCCGTGAAGATCTGAACCTTTCCTATTGGTCGGTTCACCTGAAAGAGTCAGAAAGGTGAAATGACACATCAGTATGTATATATCTAATCCATCCTTATTTAATCAAAGAGCCACATTTTCATGGGAAACAGTGTTATATGCCTTTAATTAGTCTTAACTTAAAAATAGATTAAAAAAGATTATATGGATATACGATAATGATAATAACAATAATAATTATAATAACTATTATCATAATTATTATTATCATAGTTTATATAAAAATAGGATGAGAAATGGAACTGTCTTGTTATCTGAACATGGACTTGTTTTTTTAAGCTATGCTTTCTGCCCTCCCACTTTTACAAATTTGTTTTTTCGGATGTATAAACTGTCTAATTGTTGAAATAGTAGAATAAATAAAAAAATAAAAAATATGAGAAACTCATAATTCATCTCATAATTGAATCACTACAATAAAAATCATGTATTTTTAAGGGTAGAAGTAAGTAAAGCCACAAGTGTCCTTCCTGACCTTGATGTGTTTGTATGGCGGAGGCTTCCTGTCGTTCTTCCTGTCCTCCTGCAGCTGCCGGAGCTCCTTCTCTGCCTGCAGCTCCCGAAACCGAACAGCCGCCTCCTCCAAAGCTGAGGAGCGAGACCAACAGTCAGACACTCGCCAGGTAAAACCAAAACAAACAACAAACAACCATTTTGCTGAGCACACTGATTACCTTTCCTGTAGGTGGCGTCCACTCCTTTCCCCATCTTCTCTTTGCTGTTAGCGTCCACGTCCATGTACGGGAAGACGCGCGCCTGATAGGTCCACAGGTAGTCGTTGGAGCCGAAGAAGTGGACCGGAAACTCCCCGACGTCGTGCCTCATGCGCAGGATGTTCTCTGGGATCGATTTGGGATGGCTGACCTCCGCTGGCCACCACCTTTATGGAACAGGAGAAACAAAACAGAAGAGAGAATAATAAACTTTATTTGTATAGCACCTTTCATGCACAAAGCAGCCCGAAGTGCTTTACAGAAAACATAACAACAATATTAAAATAATATTAAAATAGATACAGAACAAGATAAAACATCTACAGTGATCCTAATGAAATTCCCGTGAATTAAAGCCGACAAGAAATTAAAATAGGTTAAAATAAAACAAAAAAAACTGAAAAATACAGTAAAACATGGACAATGATACCAGTGAGAAATAAAAGTTAACCCAAATTAAAAGCTGTTGTTTTAAACATTTCAAGGGAGTTTCTGTTCTAAGATCCACTGATGAATGAACAGAGTTATTACAATTCAGCCTGAGGTCACTTTTAACTCCGTAAAAAAGGGGAAGCACTGACCTGTAGCGGCCGACCTTCACCCAGAGGATGTCCTTGTAGTGAGGTTTCTTCCCGGCCTTGCAGTCATTGCAGAACCAGCTCCCTTTAGGCATCTCCATGTTCAGACACTCGCGGTGAAACGCAGCGGGACAGGACTCGCAGCACAGCAGACTGCCCCCTGCGGGACGGGAGGAGGACACATTGTGAAAACTGGTGATTGTTTTAGTGGGCTTGCATGTGAAGGTTGGCTAGAGCTACATTAAAGGTCCCCTATTATACTGTTTTTCATCAATATATTACAGGTCTCAGATATATACAGAACATGTCTCTGATTGGCTGGAACACCAAACAGATCATTGCAGCATCCCATAATCCCCTCTGTTTCAGCCCTGTTTCCAAAGTGCTGATTCTCTGTCTGTTACTTTAGATGAAAATAAGGAGCCCCTCCCCACGCCCCTCTGAGAGAGATTTGGTTAAAAATAACACAATGGTGCTCTAGGAGGAGATTCAGGTGATAATGTGGGGGGGGGGTTACCTTGGTTGGTGATTGGCTAATGGTTACACAAGCCAACAAAACATTATGACATCATAAAGTGGCCAAAATCTGATCAGCTCATTTTCAGACAGGTTTTTATATAAATGGATCAGGACAAAAAGTGAGCAAATCCTTTTCCCTGAAACTTTCAGAATGTCTTTACACAGAGGGGACACATGTTGATGTAGAAGAGACATGAAAAAGTGGATTTTGCATAATAGGTGACCTTTAAGGTTACTACTATTTTCTGTAATCGCTTTTAGCTTATTGTCTACACTTCAATATAACAAAGTAAGCAAATTGCTGGTCATTGGAATTGTTGGAGACCAATAACACTGTAGCTGTAACAACTTTACAATATGTGGGTTCAGTGTTTCTGTCAGCTTGCCGTTTTGTTATTTTGCCACCGAGTGGTTTGTTAGTTGTTCATCACAGTGAAGTTGAAATGCTTTCACATGTTCCTGAATCCGTACCTTCGGTGCAGACGAAGCACCAGCTGACGTTGACATGCTCGTGGTTCTTGACTCCGCGGCGGGGGGTGAAGTGGTTGGGACAGATGATGCTGTTGTTGGAGAGGACGACGGTGCCGGCGGCCATGCACAGGTCTGTCGCATGATAGGCTACCGGGCAGCGCACACAGCGAACCAGACGACCTGCAGAAGGATACACGGACAGTCAGAGCAGGGAAGGTGCAACAGAGGTCATTACCCTAAAATATCTTTGTTAGAAAAATCTCACTCGTCCCCAGCTTGAGCTTCAATATCAGGACACATGTATTTATTATCCTCCCAAGAATGGAAGTAGTCGTCACAAACAGAGCATCAACTAGTTCCTGAACAGCGTCCTTCACATGCTGATATCCAAGAGAGGGAGTTACACAGTCACAAGATGGAGGAATATAAAGCAGTATTCAATGTTTACTTCAGATGAGCTCCACGTCAGAAATGATCATGCTTGTCATATGTCTATCTCCATAGAGGCTGAATCATCATGTTAATCACATAGCTATCATATGCCTAAAACAGTCCTGATGCTCTTCTAGGTAATCATACATCCTGCCATGTACACAGCTACAGTTGGGATACCTTTGTTATCTTGTGCTACTCTGATATTGGAAGAGTACATTCAGTATTTTCCCAACAATCTTCTACCTTTGGAGACGGAGGGGCTGTTAGGGTTGGTGATGAAGCAGGTGAGACAGACGTGGATAGAGCAGCGGAAACCTCGGTTCACAGGTGCGGTCGGGGCGAAGTTGGCGATACACTCTCCGTGATAAAACTTCCCGCACACAGGAATCATACATCGCCGCACGTCAGCACTGCGCTTTTTGCACACAAAGCATGTGTGGACTCCTGGGGAGGAGAAAGTACAAATTAAGAACAAAAATCAAATAGCTTTTTTGTTATTTTGCAAACAGTTAAACGGACCCCAATGGAAACTGGCATTATATTAATTCAGCTGAGTTACAGGCAGAGATGGCAAAAGTACACACATCCTTTACTCAAGTAGAAGTACAGATACTCGTGTTTGAAAATACTCTGGTAAAAGTAGAAGTACTGACTAAACTTCTTTACTCAAGTCAAAGTAAAGAGGGCTTTGAAATGTACTTGAGTAAAAAGTACCCATAACTACCATCTGTTTTAAAGAGTACCTGACCTCCCTTTATATTAATAGAACAATAATGTCATTGTTAGCTAATGAATGTTTCCATGCTGAACAACGGCAACATGACAACGTTTTCATTGGTCCCTCTTCTTTAGAGACGACCAGGAAATGATGGATACACGGATCGTGTTCAAATCAATAGGCAGGCAATGACTCTAAATAATAATGATCACGCCACCAAACACACATTCAAACTAAAGTAACCAGCCTGTTTGGAAAATGTAATAAGTAGAAAGTACAGGTATTTGGGTTCAAAATGTAAGAAGTAAAAGTAAAAAGTCGTCAGATCAATAAGTAGTGGAGTAAAGTACTGATACCAGAACAATGTACTTAAATACAGTAACGAAGTATTTGTACTCCGCTACTTCCCACCTCTGGTTACAGGTTGATTTACCTGATTTGCACTCCGGACAGACAAACTTCCCTTTGGGCGCCTGAGCCAGAGAGATGCAGGCCAGGTGGAAGGCTCCACAGCACTGACCCTCACACAGCAGCAGCTCCCCCGTCTTCTCACACACCTGAGACACCAAAAACAACCCACTTTAAAACACCTCATAACATAGGCGTAATAATGAGAAGCTGTGAAGGTAAAGGTGTGTTTCTATTTTCTGTGAAGTTTTATTGGTGAATTGTGATTTTATTGTACAAAATGATATTATAATACTTTATTGCCAGATCAAGCATGACATTGTTCTTGTATCAAAGCACCCTTATCTGACAAAATCAACAAGGAAAAATATTTCATATGAGAAACAAGGAAACAGACATTTAACATAACATTACAATCACTGAAGACAATATGCTATAGACCAGGGGTGTCCAAACTTTTTTCACGAGGGCCACACACAGAAAAATATACGAAGGGCTTGGCCACTTATAGAGGTGAGGTATATTGCCTTGAAAGTTAAGTTATAAGTTCACAAAATGTAGGTAAATTAGGCTCGATATATGACTATGCTTTAAGAAAAAAACCAGCTCTATAGGGTTTCATTTATCTTCTTCGCCTCAGAGTGATTATAATAAGATGAAATATGAAGGGTCTATTTCAAGCTAAGATTTGTTAGAAAATGTTTTCAACATGAATTGACTGAATTTATTTTAAAAGTGGGCTTATTAACACATGAATACTACTGTGTAATATATTTTTCCATATATATTTGAAAAGCACAAGTTTCATTTGTGGGCCATATGTCATTATAACTTTCTTCATCAGTACATTGGGACTTTAGGAGGAAGCTCACCTGACATATGTTCTCCTTTAAGGATGCAGGACCCCCTCGGTCCCCTATGATCTTCCTTGAGGGTGACAGAGGATCGTCACACAGCGACAAGTCGTCATTCATGGAGGAGAAGCTGTGATCCAAGCAGGACGGCTCAGCCTAAAGAAAAGAAGGTGTGATTGTGATTTGTATGAGTTTTGTATGTTTTTCTTGTTTATTGATTTAAGTATTTTGGTTATGGTGGTGGAGTTTTTATTTTTACGAGTTGTGTTTTATATAGATCAAAAAAATGTGTCCATAAAGGACTTGTGTATATTATGTTTATATTGTAAATAAAATGTAAATAGCACATTTTCTAATAAAAAAATTAAATAAAAGAAGGTACAATTTTCTACATCCATAAATCAGGGCTCATTTTGTATTCTCATCTGCCAGTTCCTGTCACGATCTGTCTGTGTTTTCCCGTTTTATTCTGAAAGGTGTGCACCCCCCTAGTTATGTCTGCTTTTACTTCCTTGGTGTTTCTCAATGTCGAGGAAGGCTCCTCCAGAGCCACTATTTCAAGGATGCTACGTCATCGAGTCCTGCCGAAGGACTGTTCCAATGTCCAGGATCCTTGGAATTCTACCGAGGTCGGCGTCCTTAGTTGCGGGAAATTTCGAGGCTGCACATGTGTATCCTCCACGGTCTTAAAATCCCCACAATGCTTTGCGCACGGACCAATTTCCAAAATCTTTGGCGGAAATCGCGCTCCATTTAAAGGCCCTGACACACCAGGCAGTCACCAGAGAACTCGCCGACACCGACACCGACAGTTCCATCGACGAGTTCTCCTGCGTCTTGGCCGTGTGTCGCACTGGAAATCACCGCAAAGACTTCAGCCGAGCACGTACGAACTGCGCATGCGTGAGTGGCAATAACTCTCCTTACCAGCAGGCGGCGGTAGTGTGTATTCGTCATTCAAAATAGGCAACAACCGGAAGACAGAGAAGAAGAACAGACTGATATACAAACAAATAGCGTGTGCGTTCCATTTTCACTCTCGTCCATCGAAAACATGTTTTAGAATATAAAAATACATGAATGATGAAATGAGCACATAAAGTGCAGACATACTATAAAATCACAGTTAATAGACCTGCATCTGATGATCGCAGTGTTCTGGCGGGTGTGTAGTTTATTGAGTCAGCAATGTAATAATGGCCACTTCTTGCTAAATTTACGATGAGATGAAAAACCGGACTTGACCAAACAAATCACGGAGCTCTTAGCAGAGGACAGCTGGGGACGCTCCCGCCGATATCAGAGATGTCCCTGCAATGTGTGGGAGGTAAGAGAGGACATTTAAGGGCTATGTTTGATGTCTTTTAAGTATCACCTGCTGGGGTTTAGCTGCTGTCCTGTGCCTTTTTTAATCGTTTGTTTACGTCCCTCACTTCCGTTTCGCTTCTCATTTGCTAGCTGAACAGCTGATCAGAGTGGTTTCTTGGCCCGATAGCTTGTGGCCGTATTTTGGCCGATTCAACATGTTGAATCGGCCGTGTGTCGAGCGTGAAAGGCCAAATAAGGCATGTCACGGCCGAGGGTTCGGGACACACCAAATTGACTTTGGGCGACAAGGAACCCGTTGTCGCCAGACAACGCAAGACGGCCGAATACGGCCTGGTGTGTCAGGGCCTTAAGGCGGGGCCTCGCATATGACGCACACCTGCACACCCGCTAGCCTGTTCCACCATTCTTCGTTTTCCGAGGCTAGGAAGGATTCTTGCCTCGCTTCTGAAGGACCTGACTCGAAAGACATGTCCTACTAAGGAAGCGTCCTCGACATTGAGAAACACCCCCTGTCTCTGTGTTTCCCTCCTGTTTGATTGGCTGATTGTGTTCACCTGGTGCTCCTGTGTTTTTCCTCCCCCCCCCCACCTGTATCTTGGTGATCACTCGTGCTGGTATTTAAGTTATTTTCGTCTTTCAGTTGTTGTGAGTTCCTTGTCGAAGTTGAATGTGTTCACTGGGGAGAGAGTTCTGCTCTGTATGTGAAGTTGATGGAAGGATTTTGTTCTGAGCGATTCTATGTTTTGCCTTGCCTTGTTTTACTTTGTTTGCCTGGCCTAGTGTAAAAATGTGTCTTTGATTCTGTGTATATATATATATATATATATATATACACATATTTGCACACGTATTTTTATATACATTTGTTTTTATATTCGGGATTGTGGGAAACGGTATTTCGATCTATCTGCCTGTACACACAAACTGGAAGATTGACAATAAAGTTGACTTTGACTAGTTCTGCAAATAATTGTTTTGTTTTCAACCAATCGTCTGCATTTGTGTCGTGTGTACCTTGCCCTCCAGCCATGACAGTTCCTGCAAACATAAGGAGAGGAAGAGGAAAAAGGGCTTACCTCTGATTCTGTCGCCTCCTTCTTGTCCTCAGCTTGAGGAGCATCAATGTCTGCTGACGGTGTTTCCTCCAGCGTGGGTTCAGGTGACGGAGGTGCTGGAGGGGAGGGGGCAGGAGATTTGGGGGGAGGGTCTGTGGTGGAGCTGGAGGAAACCTCTGTTGAGCTGGAGGCTGTGGGCTGCCGACTCTTTGATTTTAAAGATGGCGGTCCAGCATCTGGGAGTAAGAAAGACGTGTTAGAAAAAATAGAATAAGGCAGGTTAAAAATACAAGATTAAAAGAAACAATGTTTTGGAATAAATTATTATTATTGGATTTCATCAAACACAGCAGCAAACAGAAATTGAGGTTAAACAATTGTTTATTTGAGTTAACACACATCCAGGTCCATCCCAAACTTTTTTTTTGTTATCTAGATTCTGGGCGATTTAAAATCATATTTTTAAATCTAAAATAATCTTTACTTGTCTGCAAATTCAGATCTGCAGATGCGATGCGAAACATGGCTTCAGTTTGACTTATTTTAACATTTTAAAGTTATTTTCAAACAAAACAAATGCACACAATGAAAATGATCAGTATATGCTTATAATGCATTCCACTATTGTATAAATATAGACTGTTGTAAGATGATTCACTGACCTGACTGAGGAGCAGGATTTGAATTGTTCTTCAGTGTTTTGACCTGTGGCAAGAGAGACATATTTATGTAAAAGTGACAGCAGAAAAACATCACCGTTAAAACATCCTAATTCATGACGTGAATTAAAGTGTACAATATCTGCCTCTGAGATTTAGATGAGTCTAAAGTAGCATTCAATTGAAATTCTACAGTAAAATAAAATAATGACAGATGTACTAGTTAGGGATGCCAGAAACTGACCATGATCAAAATCGAAAATCGGACAGCCCTGGCGAATATTAATCGATTATTCGACCGCCCCCCCCATATAAAAAATATGTATGCAAATATGTATATCCTATATATACACAATCAAAAGACACATTTATACATATGCACAAATTAAGACCTAAATAAAAGCACAACAATCAATATATACAAAAATAACAGTCACTTCAATATCTTTGAGAATGTACATTAGTGCAAGACTGTCCATAGCAGCGTAAAAAAAGTGTCTGTGTGTGTGTGTGTGTGTGTGTGTGTGTGTGTGTGTGTGTGTGTGTGTGTGTGTGTGTGTGTGTGTGTGTGTGTGTGTGTGTGTGTGTGTGTGTGGTGTTACTACAGATTCAACAGAGATATATTTACCTTTTTCTTGGGGCCCGTTGAGGCCTCTGCCTCCATACAGTACTCCAGGATCTTCTGAGTGGGTTTCCTCTTCCGCTTCCTCTCCAGCACAGGAGCGCTTCCTGTGAAATAAATGTAACACAAAAGACTCAATGCATTGTTGTATATTTAAATCAGTGTTAACCAATCGTTTTAGCTTAAGACCCTCTGGAACTCCCTCCCTCTTGAAATCAGGACCGCTGAAAAAAGCAATCAAAACACACCTGTTTGTCGAGGCCTTCAGCCTCAGTTAACTCTCTCCTCTACATTTTTGTGACCAGTGTTTTTTATCTTCTTATTTTCTCGTCCCTGTTGTTTGCATTTGTGTCCCCCCCGCAGCCCCTCATCCTATCGTAAAGCGTCCTTTGGTTTCATGAAAAGCCCTATGTATGCAAATGATTATTATTATTAAGCATCATAGTTTGCACAGCTAAGGTCCAATAAAGGAAAACCTAATCTTCCAGGATACAATCTTTAACAACTATTTTCTCCTAACAGTTTAGGTAAGGCCCTTTGACAAGAGACTCAAACACTTCCTTACTCACCGTTGCCTTTGACGAGGCCTTCTGACAGCAAATGGTCAGCTTCAGGAGGAGGGGTTAGTGTGTCGATGGAAAGTACAGGTGCATCTTGGGAAGATGTGTTTTCAGTGTTGTGAATTTGTAGTTCAGACGGTGTTGTTGTAGGAATTTCCTCAGGAGGTGGCGTCTGTATCTCAGGAGGCAAATTCAAGGAGGGCTGGTCGTCCTGTGAGCTGCTGTCAGATCCCGGGTGTTCGGACATAACGGGTTGAGTTTCCTGGAGAAACAAATAACTTTATTTAATTGTCATTCATTGATAAAAGGTTAATGTGTAGCCTGAGACGTGATATTGGAGGCTTAATGCCATAGCATTATGTATTGTACTTTAAACAACATATGTTATAAAGTTACAACAGATCATACTTTGTATGAGTTTTACCTTTCCAATCAACTGGAGAGGCTTTTTGATTTTCTTCCTGGTGGAGAAAATCTGATCATACTCTTCAGTCCATTCAATCAGTCTCTTGCTTGGTTTTCTTATTCGTTTGTGTGCTGAAAAAGATATATAAGGAAATACACTATATTTTTTAGTATTTGTTAGTTATAGTGTGAAATGAAGTAGAATAAATTAGAAGACTTTCATGTATCTTATCGCTCTTCTACCTGGCATCACTATTTGTGAGAGTTAGCCTAACTGCTAACACGTAGCAATCAAACAAAGAACAGTTGCTTTGGACACCTACAGTCTAATGTTGCCTTCAAATGGGTTGTGTTAAATCTGTTCACAAGAAGAATTCAAATGAACACCCCCCTCTCAGAGAGATATTCTGAAATCTGAAATTACATCAGTGATGTGTTAGCTGACATGTTGTAAAATGGCGGGGGCTATGGACATCTGGCTGGTTATCTATAAACAACCACAGTACTATGAGTTTTTGGTGTGGTTTCCTGTCATTATGTTGTTGTAGCAACTTCTTTGTGCCAAGTTTACACCAAAATTGAGTAAATACATGGAAAAACCTTAGCTAAGGAGATGGAAGCAACTAACCAAGAAAGGCAAGAGTTGGTCAAAGTCCTGAGCTTGTTGATTTGAGAAACATACAATAACTACAATTTATTGTTCTCTTAACACCACTTGAATGCACCAAATATGTGGATCGAATTGTGCTTAGTTACTTTGGGCAGACAATAAACTAGTATTACCTTTTGGAGCCTTGTCACTTCCTCCAGTGTCGCGCATGAAGCTCGTGGTCGTCTCAGTACCATCTGCAACGAGGCCATTTGGCTGTTCCAGACACAGCGTAGTGTCACATCCCCTCTGCTCCAAAGGCACCATGTTCTGTAGATTCTCCTTTACTCTACTCCACGTATCATCCTCCTCCCCAACTACTCCTTCAGCTCCTCCAGCGTGCCTCTCCCAGCTGCTGGTCTCTATGCCAAACAGTGACTTGTCTCTTGACGAGCAATCGAGTCCTGATGAAGAGTCTGTGGTTGGCAATGACTCCAGTCCTGGGAAACCAGGGCCAGACCTGGCGGGACGACAAGGCACCTCACGGTTGGCTTTCTTTTTTACCCTAGTTGAGCTGATTCTTCTTTTATAGGGCCTCTTGGATGTCTGACTTGTGCTCTCCTCATTGTGTTTGTTTTCAACTTTGTCTGGACTTGAATTTGAATCATTGTTAACCTGTTTAATTTGTGGATCTTGACCTGCGGATGTAGCCTCCCCAGGCATCACTAAAGGTTCCTCCTTCACATGTGCACTTGGTGGCCCAATGTCAAGCTCTAAAGGGGTCCCCTCTCGCTCTCTAGTGTCATGCAAGTCCTTCAACATCATGAGAAAAGTGCTGAACTTGTAGCTTGTGTCTGCTTTGAAAGAGATGGGTTTACCTTCACCCTCATTTGTCAGGGACTGGAAGGATACCTCCTCAACGTTTTTAAAGGAATTGATAAAAGAAAATGGTGAGGAAGGTGCAGACGACGAGTGCTGCATGTCAGAGGATTGATCTTCATTCTTTGCCTTTACCCTAGAAGTAAGGGGTATGAAGTCCATTGGAGGAGTTGAGGATATTGAGAGATCTTCATCTTCACTCTTCACATCAAAGTCAGCTGAATCAGGACGTGTCAAAGGGGAAGTGCTACAGCTAGAAGTGTCCTGATCACAATCATTGTCAGTACGAGTTTTGATTTCAGTGCAAAAGTCCAGTTTGGAGTTAGATGCAGAGTTGCATGCGACATTCTCAGTTGTTTTGTATGGATTTAAGAGTTCTTTCTGCTCTGCCTTCTTTCTGACTTTTTCTCGCTTTCTTTCTTCCACCTCCTGCATGGCCTTCAGGGCTCGAGTCATCAACCGACCGCTCGCTGGGAGGTGTGTCGGCTGCTCATGGAGTACGATTTTATTGACTTCATCTGAAACCAGCTTTAATTTGGAGACAACTTTCTTGGCTTTTACAGAAGATGGAGTTTTATCAAAAGCTGTACTATTGGCAGAGGTCATTTTTTGTTCCGAGTTGCCTAACTGGTCTGTGGTCATGCTTGATTCATTGGATGCAAGAGTCTTCCTACCTTCTGATTGGTTTGACAATGAGTAAGTCATGTTGCTTACATTTAAAACTGGTACCCTTTCCGATTCTTGACTACCCAACTCATCAAGCACATTTGCCACTTTGGATGTAACAATAGGTTTATCGTGTAATGATTCTGACGAGAGACGGAGGATACCTGTCCCACCACTTGCTTTTACCTTCTTAACTGAGATCTTTATGGATTCTGAACTGACTGCACGATCAATGGAGATACTTGCCTTGCCGGTCACCCAATCTGATTGTTTAGAGGACATTTCAGGTACTTCAGCATCTGGTATTTCATTCTTTGTACATCCAGGTTGGTCATTGGGATTAAGGGTCACAGTGGAGTTAAGGAACTTCTTACCCTTCATGTCCTTGCGTATTAATTTGACAAAAGGTAGCCTACACTTGGAGAGTAGACTTGTTTGCATTTCTAGCCTTGCTACTGGGTCAAAAGCATCGACATTTAACCTGGCTGATGAAGTATTTTCTTCTGCCATGTCAGAAACCCTTTCGATTACTTGGACCTTGTTATTAGCCACTGTCTCTGAATGTTGAGTATGAATGATCTTCTTAGCACTCAACCTTTTACGCTCCTTTTCTTCTGCTTGGTCCGAAACTCTGTCGATTACTTGGACCTTTTTATTAGCCACCAAGTCTGAATGTTGGGAATGACTGATTCTCGTTGCACTCAACTTTTTACCCTCCTTTCCTTCTGATTGGTCAGAAACCCTGTCAATTGCTTGGACCTTTTTATCAGTCTTTGTGTCTGAATCTTCCGTTTGACTAACTCTCTTTACACTCGACTGCTTTCTTTCTTTCTTTTCTGCTTGGTCCGAAACCCTGTCGATTACTTGGACCTTTTTATCAGTCTTTGTGTCTGAATATTCAGTTTGACTAACTCTCTTTACACTCAACTGCTTTCTTTCTTTCTTTTCTGCTTGGTCAGAAACCCTGTCGATTACTTGGACCTTTTTATGAGCCAGTGTCTCTGAATCTTCCGTTTGACTAACTCTCTTTACAATCAACTTCTTTCTTTCTTTTTCTTCTGATTGGTCAGAAACCCTGTCAATTGCTTGGACCTCTTGACTAGCCACCAAGTCTGAATGTTGGGAATGACTGATTCTCGTTGCACTCAACTTTTTACCCTCCTTTCCTTTTGCTTGGTCCGAAACCCTGTCGATTACTTGGACCTTTTTATCAGTCTTTGTGTCTGAATCTTCAGTTTGACTAACTCTCTTTACACTCGACTGCTTTCTTTCTTTCTTTTCTGCTTGGTCCGAAACCCTGTCGATTGCTTGGACCTCTTGACTAGCCACCAAGTCTGAACGTTGAGTATGACTGACTCTTTTTGCACTCAACTTCTTAATTTTCATTTCTTCTGATCGGTCAGACATTCTTTTCATTATTTCATCCGACATTCTGTCTGAATATTTAGTTCGACTGAAGCTCTTTACACTTAACTTTTGTATTTGTTTATCTTCTCTTTGGTCAGAAACCCTGTCAATTGCATGGATATTTTTAGTAGCCAACATGTCTGAATGTGGATTTTGTCTGACTGTCTTTACACTAAACGTTTTACTTTCCTTTTCTTCTGATTGGTCAGACATTCTGTCAACTACAGTGTACTTTTTATTAACCATCGTGTCTGAATGTTGAGTTAGACGTGCTCTTTTTTTACTCAACCTTTTACTTTCTTTTTCTTCTGCTTGGTCAGAAATGCTGTCAATTACATGGACCTTTTTATTAACCATTGGTTCTGAATGTAGAGTTGGATTGGCTTCTTTTTTACTCAACTTTTTACCTCTTTTTTCCTTTGCTTGGTCACAAATCCTGTCCATTTCATGGACCTTTTTATTATCCATTGAGTCTGAATGTTGAGCTTGACTGGCTCTATTTCCACTCAACATTTTCCTTTCTTTTTCCTTTGCTTGATCACAAATCCTGTCCATTTCATGGACCTTTTTACCAGCCGTTGTGTCTGAATGTTGAGTTTGAATGACTCTCTTTGCACTCAACTTTTTACTTTCTTTTGCTTCTGCTTGGTCAGAAATCGTGTCAATTAGGCCAACATGGGCCTTTTTATTTGCCACCGAGTCTAAATGTTGAGTTTGACTGACTTTCTTTGCATTCAACTTTGTACTTTCTTTTTCTTCTGATTGGTCAGAAATCCAGTCAATTACTTGGACCGTTTTACTAGCCATTGGGTCTGACTGTTGAGTTTTGCTGTATTTCTTTACACTCAACTTTTTTCTTGGCTTTTCTTCTGCTTGGTCAGAAATCTTGTCGATTACATGGACCTTTTTGCTAGCTGTTGTCTCTGAATGTTGAGTTTCACTGAATCTCTTTACATTCAACTTCTCACTTGCTTTTTCTTCTGATTGGTCAGAAATCCAGTCAATTACTTGGACCGTTTTACTAGCCATTGGGTCTGAGTGTTGAGTTTTGCTGTATTTCTTTGCATTCAACTTTGTACTTTCTTTTTCTTCTGATTGGTCAGAAATCCAGTCAATTACTTGGACCGTTTTACTAGCCATTGGGTCTGAGTGTTGAGTTTTGCTGAATTTCTTTACACTAAACTTTTTTCTTGGCTTTTCTTCTGCTTGGTCAGAAATCTTGTCGATTACATGGACCTTTTTGCTAGCTGTTGTCTCTGAATGTTGAGTTTCACTGAATCTCTTTACATTCAACTTCTCACTTTCTTTTTCATCTGATTGGTCAGAAATCCTGTCATTTACATGGACCGTTTTACTAGCCATTGGGTCTGAGTGTTGAGTTTTGCTGAATTTCTTTACACTAAACTTTTTTCTATGCTTTTCGTCTGCTTGGTCAGAAATCCTGTCGATTGGATGGACCTTATAATTAGCCATTGTGTCTGAATGTGGAGTTTGACTGACTGTCTTTACACTTAACATTGATTGATCATTGAAAATGAGTGGGCTGGGTTTTATGTTTTTTTTAACATGTGACCTACCCAATTGATCCAATGGTAAGACTGTAACAGGTTCAATTGTATTACAGTCTGTCTTTCTATCCTTTGAATATCTACACTTATCAAAGGGCACGTCTAACTTATCAAAGACCAGTGAGCTATGCTTGTCTGACAACCCTGATAGGTCATTGGTACTGACAGATGTACTAAAAGGCCTATTAGCAACCTTTGTGTTAAAACACTTAAAATGCCCTGGCTGTTTATGTTGCAGATTTGTTTCAGCAGGTACCAGAGTGTTATGCTTTTCTGAAAACCATGAATGCTCTGTGGGACTTGCAGTTGTACCCAAAGACGTATTAGCCACCAATGTGTTTTTACACTTCGAATGTTGTGGCTGTTCAGTTGTCAGATTTGATTCCGCCGGTTCCAGAGTCTTACGGTTGTCTGACAAACTTGACTTGTAAGGGGTACTGCTGGTTGTTACAAACGGCTTGTTAGCAATCACAGTGTTTTTACACTTCAAATGTACTGGCTGTTCAGGTGACAGTTTTCTTTCACCAGGAGTCTTATGCCTGTCTGAAAACCCCGGCTGCTCACTGGAGGTGGAGAAACTAGGAAGTAGTGACTTTTTACTAGCTGCAAATGAGTTTTTTTTCTTACAGGGCACCTTACTGAAGAGAGTGCGGTCCGACTTTGAACTGGTTGTTTTAGGTCGTCTGTCTTTGCCTGATTTACTGAACCAAAGACCAGTCTGAATCTCTGGCTGCTTCTTCACTTCTTTAACAATTGTAACCAGTGGCTGAGTTGGAGTAAGCTTAGACTGACGTTCAAGTGCTTTAGGACACAAAATCTTAGGGACAGAGTCAATGTCAGAATATGGGCACTCTCCATTGTCTCTCTCTGATTGGTCAGGACTATTACGCAATGTCTTTGACTTTTTGGAGTGTTTACTACAACTGTCCTTTGATGATTTACTTGGTTGCTTCTTTCCAGAAGATTTCTTTAAAGTGCTTGGCTTTGCTGGAGTTGTAATTGGGGGTGAAATGGACCCATTGGTCATGTAGAAAGTCTCAGGAAGGGTCGGTGAAGTGGAGGGAGTAAAAGTTGGATTGGCCTTGCGCTCTGTCTCCGGTGAGAAACTGTCTTGAAAGTCATCGTCTATGAACGAAGGAAAGGAAGAAGACATTTGGTGTCTTGCTTGGACAACAAATTCAGCTTCTGCCACACTGGATTTCCATGACTCCTGTAAACGCTTTGCAATCTACGGAAAGATAAAGGCAAACACTGCTCAGTATTTGCATACATAGCAGTATAAAGAATAATGTGTTTATTGCAATGTTAGTTATTCCTGACCAAGTCTGAAAACATAATTGTTGTTGTCCAACATGATGATAACCAAGCAATGATGATGCTTTAGACCAACTTTTTATTAGGGCATGCAGAGAAGAAGTATTTACAGTGTTTTTGTAGTTCTGCTCCCTTTGCTTCCCCTTCCGGCGCAGTAGGGGGAGCTGATCGAATTCAAAGCCTCCGTGGAAACTGTGAGTTGATTTTTCCTCCACCCAGGTTAGCTCCAAAGGCTCCCCAAAGGTCCTGACATGGTAAAGCCGACTGGGCCGGTCACTGGGCTCTAAGACAACAACAAACATCAGTTTCAATCTCATGATACTCAGATTAAATCCACATTCAAGTGCATCAACTAAGCAAAGGAAGCTTTAAAATGCAAGAAAACTAACAGTACAGGTTGATGTAACTAGGACTGCAAGAAACTATTATTTTTAATTGATGCATTAATGAGATAGTCAGTCTATAAAAAAAGTCAGAAATTGGTAACAATTGTCAATGAGTGTTTGCAAGAGGGATCAGTCAAACCAATTGCCCATTTTCTTAAATAGTAAACAATAAATGTATGAGTCAGTCTTTGCAACTATAGATGCAACTGATTGACAAATGTTTCAAAAGTAATGTATAGTGAAAAATGAGTTAAATTAAAGTGGACCTATCATGCTATATTTGAATAATATAGTGTAGGACCATACCTATATAAGGCATATTTATACTTTTTTTTTTTCAAAATACCAAACAGATCATGCATTTTAGCCATGCCTCATTTTGCTCAATTTGGCATTTTTTAGATCTGTTTTAGCAAGGGAAGATTCTGTGAGAACAGCACCATCTACTGGCCTGGCATATGTACTACAGCGTCTCCAGCGCTTTCGAACGGCAATGGCCGTGGCTGTCTCCTCCTGATTGGTGGAGTTGGCCCAATAGCCGTAGCGCCACTGTCCTAACGTCAAGACAGTGTTCAAATCTGGATCAGTTTTTATCAGATCCGTTGCAGCCCCTTTTTTAGAGATTTGGGTATGGAGGAAAATAGAGAGGGTTGTGTTTTCTGACACTTGGTGAGTTCCCTGGAACACCGGGGACACATATTCATGTATAAAAGACGTACAAAAGTGCATTTTGCATGATAGGTCCCCTTTAAGTAAAATTCCGTGTTTGATAGCAAAAGGTAAAATGGGAGACTTTAAATCTATATTTTACAATCTAATTTAAGGATTGTATTAGATGTTTTCTGGTATCGTGGTTCCTCCACTTGGTAACCTGACCAAATATGGCAATTGGCATGCCAATGTATGTCATAAATTATAATCTAAGACTATCTTGTTATCCTTTTTGTGTATTTTGAATCACCCATCAGTTTATGCTATTAGCAGCTGCTGATGTCTAATACAGGCGACCAAACAATCCACACAGTGTACCACAAGGAAAACGATCCTTGTACATTGTAGGTAATCACATGAAGTCAACAATGTCTCAGGCCCACCTTTCACTTTGTGATAGATTCCCTGTGCAGGGTCAACGGTCACCTCGCAGGGCCACCATGGTCTTCGGTTTAACTTTGCCCAAATAACTTCACCCTCTAAGAACTTCAGAGATGGCACAGACTTTTTCTTGAGGCTGTTCTGCTGTTCAACATGACAATAAAGACAGAATATTACAATAAGACAAATACAAATTAGATACTGTTTTGTGTTCTGACCCAGTAAGAGCTACAGGTGTGTTGGTTGCGCTTGTTATGTAATTTAATTGTCTGTGTTTTCTGTATTGCATCCAAAATAATCTGGCCCTTGTGCTTGTGCACTCCTTGTGAGAGGAGTCAAATGACTTTAAAAAAAAAGATTCTACTCATTTCAACCAAACACATAATTGAGAACACATGTTATGTTTCAATGGAGGCCTGGCAGACACTTAACCATTGACGGATGGTTTTGTTATTTACTTATTTTACAGAATAAACAGAGGCTGCCCCCAAATATATATATCCTGGTGTGGGCCTCTCCATCAAAACACCACGTACACAACGCTAGACACTACCGGTCACACTGGTATTGTGCATGCTGGCTCACTGTCACATTGTCATAATTTACTGGGGCATTAAATAGAACAAAGCCATCACTAATGTCTTTAGCAACACCAAGGCTTTTCTTACTAAAACAAGTCAAAATGCTGTGTTAACATTGATTGATCTGTGAGCTGTTATCCTGGGGAACTTGACGAAACATTGATTCACAAAAACAGATGCATCCAAGTTGTTATTTGTTGTTGTTTTGCTTTGGCTTTAGTGTCACCTCCTGAGCAGTGCCAAGTTTTAGTGTGAATAATCTGCACCCAAAACAGGCGGAGAAACAAAAGCAGAACTTGTGGCAATGAATAAGCATTATGTTACAGGTCGTTTGTGGTAATATATGAACCCTGTGGAGGGTAGCCTCAGCGCTGACAAAACATATCCATATATGCAACAAATAAAGTTTATATTAAATGGTTATTTTGGTCATATAAATAATCTTTGTATAACTTTTATTTGGGGGATAATTATGCTTTATGTTTTTGGACTACAGTTCCCATAAAGCTTTGGGGAATGTAAACAGGAAGTAAAACATTTTCATCTTCTAAGCACCCTTCTTTTCACCTATGTTTGTTGACATTTCAGCAAATTCATACCATTCAAATAGTGCAGAATAAGCAATTAGCAGTCCCTGTTTGCAGCGTACAGAAAATGACCACTTGATTACTTTGATACTGAAGAAAGTCTATGATTTCTGAGTGGCTTTATGAACATTTACTGAAAAGACAATGATATGCTTGCGTGGCGTAAGACACACTGAAAGTAAAAACATGTTTATCATGTCTGTGTGTTGAGATCTGACAAAGTTATTACTCAGAGAGGAGGTGTGATTTTTGCCATCAGGCCCTAAGGGGTTTTCAGGTACTTTCCTTGCTTCCATGAACAGCCTCTCTGCAGCTGACTGTCTGATACTGCTAACAATAGGCGATTAGTCCAAATCAGCTTTCAATCCACAATAACTAACTTTCTGTTCACACCTGTGCCTTTCCCATTTTGCATAGTCTCACCCTTCAGCTCTCCTCACAGTTTGAAAACCTCTAGAGAAGCTGACCTTCAGTTCTTTGTAAAAAATAAGTAAGAGAGTATTTATTTATTTATCAATGACAGAGCTAAATTTGTGGAGCTCGGACATCTCTGAGCCCACACATTATTCACAATGAGCGGCATTCTGGTGAAAAACAGTGCATGTGTTCAGTATTTACAGTAATCCGGCAACATGGTAAATAAGTTCTAGTCTTTTAGTAGACAGTGTGTTCTTGTATTTTATACCTAATCAGTCAGGGATCAACACTTCCAGTTCGGAGTAGTATTCCTTTCTGAGCCAGATTTACAATGTGTATAGTTAAACATCCCCTCAATTTATCATATTTTTGGATATGAAATTGTGTCCATCTATATGTATGTATATACTATACTATACTATAATACACTTATAGTGAAGTTTGCCCTGTTGTGTCACACCAAGTTGAAAACTAATGTCTACCTGTGACAATAAAACCTGAAAAGCTGTTTGTTTACTTGGAGTAATAACTGGAAAACTTGCCATTGAATGCCTTGTGGGACTATCGTCCAGCAGGAGCAGCTCGGAGCCGCTCTCCCACTCGTCATCCGAGCCGTCCCAGTATCTCCGGCGCTGACCCGAGGACTGGGACCGGGTCACCGCCTTGGCTGAGGACAGGGTAGCATCCTTGGAGTCTGAATTCACGTTTCCAGGAGTGGATGGGAGCAGATTCTCCGGCCTGTCGTGTTTATCCAAGCCTCCGCCCAGAGGGGACACCGCCTCCTGCTCTTCATCGTCATCCTCAAACAAAGAGGACTCAAAGTGGAGGAAGCCGTTAGCAAAGGGGCTGTTGCTGTCCAGAGAGAAGGCCGGGCTGGGCGGGCCTGAGAACAGACCTTCTGTCTTTTTCTCCGAGACGTCAGGAGCTGCAGGTATGTCTCGACTTCTACTCTGGACCACAGGTTGTTTTGGTCCAGAAGAAGAGCCACTATAGCTTTCCTCCCTGCTTGTGTTCTGGCTGCCAGAATAATCCCCGCCCGTGCAGTCAGCCCAGGAGTCCGTCTCCATCTCCTTCCCCCTCTCCTTCTTATTCCCCCCCCACTCCCAGCTCCTTTCCGGCTCCCTCACCGGCAGCACCAGGTCCGGCTGGCTCACCATGGATGTGAGATGCTGCAGCCTCCTGAGAGGACTGTAGGATGCAGAGGAGGAAGAGGAGGAGTGCTCCGTTTTTGTAAACCCATACATGGATGCATGCTTGAGGGAGGAGGCAGACATGTTTAACCCGATCCTGTGGTCATGGTGTCTGGAGGCGGAGAGGTCGCGCCCGGGGGTCAAAGGGCAGCCGGACTGATGAGTCTCCCTGCCAGGGCCTGGGTGAGGCCCACTCATGCTGGCATGGTTCCTCCCTGTGACACAAACAGAGAATTGTTAGCATACCAAAAAATCAAAGTTTGGATATTAAAACACCTGCAAATTGTTGCTAAAGCTTGTTATGATAAACCTGAAAGACTGACATTTGTTTTAATTAATGGTATATTTTATAATCCTACAATTATCCTCAAAGAAAGTACACTTCATCCATGTTTCATGTTTATTCTCAGCATATCCCTACAATCTGTGTTACATCACTGCAGCTTGATCAAAGTTATCCCAGGCAGCTGGTGATGAAATATATTGAAGAAAAAGCGACACAGCTCTGACTTGAAATCCGTGAAAAACAACCCAATCTGCTTCACATGATGATCATCAGAATAAAACGTAAACAGACTCACTGACAAAGAGCGGGTCGACCTTATATGACATTATTTGGGAGAGATTCTGCGCAAAACAGCATCACAACAGCCGCTGTAAAGCCTTTGAGGAAAATTATCGCGATGTGATGAAAATGACATCAACACGATAAGGTCATCAGCCTGTAAGCTCGTGCATACTGTGGACTCACACAATAAAGACGATCAATGACAGCGTGTCATGTTATAACATCTACCCGTCGTTAAACAAGCCGGCTGCAGCCACCAACTGGAATTAAAATGGACCCATTCGTGCACGCGCGTATGCATAGATGCGTGCCACTGCATGTGTGTGTCAGTGTGTGTTGTGTGTGTCGATCATGGCTTGCAGTGGCTTCCATGCTTGCACGAGAAGAGAAACACTTAACGCTACATAATACCACGAGACGACACAAAACAAGTTCACCAACACACACTTACACACACACGCACGCACACGCACACACACACTTCCACAGGCTTCCCTCCCCGACAGATGCAGGCTATGTGTGCATCAAACAACAGAATCACGGAGAAAACGCCAAATGACACGGGATCTGTCGCAAGAATCTTACCATTCTGGTGTCGTTCAGCGCAAACATGACCCTCAACCCGCTCATTTTGCCCATTAAATGTGCCAATTTCCAATTTTGTGAAAGCGGATGAGGAGAGTCCCAGCGGCAATACTACTAGGCCTGGATCCTGTGAAACGTACTCTCTCACTGCCCCCTGCACCTCCCTCCTCCTCCTCCTCCTCCTCCTCCCTCCTTCTCTCTACATGCGCTAAAGCCTGGTCCAGCGGCCCCTGGAATTAGAGATTCAGGCAGCGACACTCCCCCTTCTGCTTTGAGATAACTACTTTATATTTCGCCGTGTATACATCCCTGCTCTGTTGAATGGCTGTTTCCTGCCTGCAGACTCTGAAAGTCAGCCTCTCTCTCTGTGCGCACTGCCAGGCGTCACCACTGCCTCCCTCCCCAGCCGGTCCACAGCATAGAGAGCAGAAGGGGCCGTAAATCGTTTTTCCTAGAAATAAAAACTAAGAAAATCTGAGCTGGCAGCCACCTATAAAAAAGAAAACACACCGGACGTCCACATGACACCTCTAAAAACTGGCCCCGCCCCTCTTCTTAATTACCAGCATCAATTATTAACCTAAACCAGGCTGCCATCACCAACATGTCACATGCCAAAGTTGTGCCAACAAACTGGCATCTCATACACCACCAACCTCCTCGAAACGCACTTGGGCAGCACACTAAATAAGACGAAATAAATAAATGGAAGTCATTCAAAAATGTCCTCCACTAACACGTCGGAAAGGCAGAGAAATTGTGCAGCAGGCTACCCGGAAAAACAGATGGGTTTCCTTTCCTGAGACGAGTTGCTGTGTAGTCTCTGCACACCCGGTCCCTTCAAAATGGAGTCCTCCAGTCCAGCCTTTAGTGGAGGAAAAAAAAGCAGGCCACAAAGTGTTAATGCAAGCTCGATATAAAGTTCAGCCAGGCACGGAGGGACTGAGCCTCTCTCCTGATCCCTGGAGGTGTTTCTGAGTCCTGGGTCCTGACAGGAACATGTTCCCTACATGCTGTCCCTGTCTCATGAGCGTGTGTGCCACGACAAGAACAGGGGCTCCTCTGGTGTGTGCGTGTGACAAACGCTCGTCTTAAAACATTAAATGGCACTTTAAACGTCGTCTGTGCTGTTTTTTGGTTACTGGTTTTGGTGCAAATGAAGGGGGGGAAACACACGGTGTATTTTTTTTTTTCCAGAAACGAATGGGTGAGAGTAGGCTACTGCAGCTCCTCGGCCGGGGAGAAGGAGCTGAGCTTTGGTGTATTGGATTGGATTTGTATAGGTGATATTTGTATAATTAGAGACGATATGTCAGTGGGGACATGGGAGGGTGAGTAGAGGGGGGGTTTCAGGTGTAGAAAAAATCCCCCCCACACACACACTCTTGTCACCGGGAGGCGGTGTGATATGGGAAAACGGCGGAAATGAGCGACACAACAGCAACACTTCCTCCCCTGCAGAATGAAGCTCGGCTGGGTCACTGTTGAGCACGAGGCGAACAGACACGAGCCTCTTTATGACTGTGCATGGGAATATTTCACGTTTTCTGAAACCTCTCGCTAAAATATCCCCTTCTGTTCTAACATCTCCCGGTTATTTTCATCTGACAACATGGATGTCCAGGATGCGTTTTGCTATTCGAGCCGAACAGAATATGTTTTGTTGGAAGTAGTGAGACACACCGGTTAGAGACGGGCAGACCGGAGCAGGGCCTGCTGCGGGTTTATCAGGCTGAGTTTCGTTAAACAGCGCCTCGACCGGCAGCCGCGCGCATCTCCACGTGCCCAGCCATCATTAGCGCCATTAACGTGGTTCACCGTCATTTACAGGCAACATGTCAACACCTCCAGGACTTTCCACTGCTGCACATAACCGGGGTTTGGTTTGACGAAGCATCTGTATGAGTCAAATCCTCCAAATCAAAGTATTACAAAAATGTAATTCCCCTTAGACATGCAAGATAAGATAAAGATGAGAGAAACCTTTATTCATTCCTGTAGTAGGCTAATTCAGGTGTCTGAACAGCAGAAAAAAGGGCAAAACACAGGATAGAACAGATTAAGTTCAAACAAGGCTAATTAGATTGAATAACACATTAAACATATAAGTGACAGTATAAAATAAAATTTAAAAAGGATAATTAAATAATTAATTATAATAAATATATACAGTAGACAAAGTCCTACCTCAGCAGTTTACTGTGGCCTTCTTGTTTCAGAAAGTACATGCAGAGGTGTGAAGTAACTACGTACATTTACTCTAGTATTAGTACAAGATCTGAGTACTTCTCCCACCTCTGAGTACACGTATCCCTGTGTAAAATATGTATCTGACTAAGTGAGAAACCTACTACCTACTTTTGTTTAACAGGCTGTGGTATGTAAATGTGTTATACATATACAATACAGATGGGTAATATACAGCTGGGCCTGACATACTGGATTCCTGAAACACTGCTTTACTTTCGGTGTGTTAAATATGGCAGGCAAAATAACATGACATCATTTATTTAACTAAAGCCACACACAATACTTTGCAGAATCATGACACATCTATGTTGACCCCCCCCACCCCCAAACATATGACTCAGCTGTTCTGGTATGAGCTGGTAAAAGTGGACTGATTTGAATGAATGTATAGTGACAGTGACAGTGCTGATACTACTTTTTCTCGGTACCTTTTCCACTGCCTCTGCTGCTACTTCAGTGAAGTATCTCCTCATCACGAGCCGAGGCCTTTGTGTTGTTGAAGCGCCACATTTATTTGGAGACTCGTCAGATCCACCAGAGGGCAGCAGAGCACGCGACATGAGATCAAGGTGTAAAAGTGTTTCCAACATTCCCACAAAAACTGATATCCCCTTGTCCACGTCAATCTCATCTCTCATTTGTTGTTTATTTGTATCGAATCAGTTCCACTCCGTTGGCTTTCTCCAGAGGTTCTATAGTGTAGTGGTTATCACGTCTGCTTTACACGCAGAAGGTCCTGGGTTCGAGCCCCAGTGGAATCAGTCTTTATGTTTGGACAGTGATATGAGAATGCAAATATCAATAGGTAAAAATAACTAAGAGAAATATATGTGTATATGTCATTCCATTAAAGTTGAAACAAGCAGACATAATACAAATACATTATTCAATTCAAAAAGTATGAAAGTTAGCAAATAAATAGGAAATAAAAGTCCAAATCCATTTATAGATTTTTTAAATGTCACACATGCTATTCAGGAATCAACTGATGAAGATGTGGAAATGCTACACAAATAAGCTATTTATCCAGATTGTATTCATTAATTGATGATTAAAGGTGGGGTATGTGATTTTGGAGAAACCAGCTCGAGATCGCTAGAATTTGAAAATACACAACCGGAAAAAATCTGCCACTTCCTTACAGAGCCCCTCCTCCAACACACACGAACGCGCACATGACCAATGAGGGCACAAGATAAGTTTGTGCACGAGATGGAAGGCTGACAGGCAGGTAGGCCATCCAGTTATTTTAGCCGGGCCGGTTTATTTTGATTGGTCGTGCTTTTTACAGCGTTTTACAGCGGCTTCCACAGATTACATTTTTTTATGTATTTATTGTCAAAGCATTTAAGATATTCATTGCTATCGGGATGTTAAGAGCATTCCATGGAATATAACAAAAAGTGTTTCTGAAATAAATTACATACCCCACCTTTAAGTATTTTTTCTTCCTGGTGACACAGAGGTTGCAGTTCTCTTAAAGGGCCAGTACACCTGGGAAGAAGTGCTTGTTTGGATAGTCGAATACATTTGGAAACTTCTCAATGCACACCTGACCACACTTCTGACTACAGATTGGAGGGCAGTTTCCTCTCCAAAAATGTAACATTTACCATGCTGCGCTGATACCCCAAGTTGGTGGAGGTAATGAAAGAAATAGTTGTGTAAATGGAGGAATTAATGAAAAAAAGATCTCTATGGAATGAGGAATGACTTAAAGGTAGGGTATGTAAGTTTGAGAAACCGGCTCGAGATACACTTTTTGTTATATTCCATGGAATGCTCTTAACATCCCGATAGCAATGAATATCTTAAGTGCTTTGACAAAAAATCCATTCAAAAAATTCATCTGTGGAAGCCGTAATACTGTAAAAAGCACGACCAATCATTTTAGCCGGCCTGGCTAAAATAACTGGATGGCCTACCTGCCTGTCAGCCTTCCATCTGTGCACAAACTTATCTCGTGCCCTCATTGGTCATGTGCGCGTTCGTGTGTGTTGGAGGAGGGGCTCTATAAGGAAGGGGCAGATTTTCTCCGGTTGTGTATTTTCAAATTCTAGCAATCTCGAGCCGGTTTCTCAAACTTACAAATGTTGGGCTCTCCTTCACGCCGTGCCATTTTTTGGATCAAAGAGAGCCAAGTGGGGTGAGTCCTATATAAAAGTTATATTGTTTTCGGTTGAACTACACCCTAAAAGATACATTTTTTTCCTTATGGACTTTGGTTTCTTTGTTGACTTACTCTAAAAAAATATATAAAAATGTGGTCACTGGCACACACACACACACACACACAAACACACACACACATTGGAAGCTCCTGGATTAGATATGTGGGAGGAAGCGTTCACACCACCCTGATTAAGTTTTAGTTAACTGTCACACCAGAGATCCGGAGGCCCACGCTCACCACCTCTCCCGGAAATGTGTGTGTGTGTGTGTTTGTGCATATGTGTGTTTGTGTGTGTGTCTTCCTGTTGTTTTAGATTCCACTTCACTCCCCCACTGCTGCCATCCATGACCTGTGACCCCCGCTGAACCCAGCTGTCAGCTGTCCTGCATGAGACGCTCTCTCTCTTCATCAACTTTCCTTTTCTCAGTTTCACTCCTCTCACACTGAAGCTCTCAATCTGGTTCAGAGCAATGCCAAGAAATACTGGGATACTATACTAAAGTAAAAGTAGAAGTACCATTGTCTGAAGATACCCCATTCTGTTTTTAAACCCTAACATATAGCCAATGTGTTACTTAGTTTACTTCAAATGACTGTAGATATTACTAATAGAGTGTGTTTTTTATTGTATTGCAGTAACAAACACAGGATTAAGGGTAAATAACATTGTTTTAAGAATTGAAAGACTCCTTATTTAGCTTAAACTTGTACATTAAAAAGCATAATTACTTAAAGTGGACCTATCATGCTATATTATAATAATATAGTGTAGGACCATACCTATATAAGGCATATTTATACTTTTTTCTTTTCAAAATACCAAACAAATCATGCATTTTAGCCATGCCTCATTTTGCTCAATTTGCACTTTTTTACCCCTGTTTTTGCAAGGGCTGATTCTGTGAGAACAGCACCACCTACAGGCCTGGCATATGTACTACAGCGTCTCCAGTGCTTTTGAACGGCAATGGCCGTGGCTGTCTCCTCCTGATTGGTGGAGTTGGCCCAATAGCCGTAGCGCCACCGTCCTGACGT